TAAGTCAAATGAGAATCCAAAGTAATTCCAAGATATTTGTAGGTAGTGACAATATCAAGGGGTTTCTTTAAAAAAGTGAGTTGATTTGTTATATTGAAATGTCTCCTGGGTGAGGAAAAATACATRCACACAGTTTTTTTTAACATTAATTGACAAAAGATTATCTTGAAGCCAACCATGAAATTCTTTTTTCAAATTTTCATTATACGGTCCTGTTCATTTCAAACTGATGATTTTTGAAGAATCCATACATATTAAGTTGTACGGATTGTCCATTAATTAAATTTTTCTACATTTTGCATGAAAAGGGCAATCAAACGGCTCCCCCCCCCCCCCCTTTTTTTAAAATTTGCTTCAAATTCTTTAAGTCTCAGAGTCGGAAAGCTGTGAGGAAATAAGTTATCTATCTCCTCGTCCTCCTCTGCTGCTGCAAATGCTGTTAGCTCCGCCCCCACATCCTCTCGCCCCGGTTGTATGAGAGCACAATCATTTCTGAGGGTCAGGATACAGGTAAACGTCTGAGTTGTTGACATGTATGAGAACGGATTGTGATAATTTAATTAATTGCACTGAACAGTCTGTAATTTGAAGTCATCTTTAAAACTGATTACCTTTTGGAAACAACATGATTCAGTAGTAGTGGCCCAATGAACAGCCCTTCATCAGAGCTAAAAAAATAATCTGAAGCTCCTATGTTCAGTTGATTTTCAGTCATAAGCATTTTTCTGGGTCCAGACACCCCCTTTTCAGAGGGAGCCCCCTCCTCAAATATGGGGTCCATTGATCTATATTACTGGATTGGACATGGCCTATAGCAGCTATAGCTAGCGACGCGCCGTCACAGGAACCATTGCTATGCATTGAGTCACGTCAACAAAACAATGCGGGATGTGCGTCAATCTGTCACAAAAATATTCATAGCACCCTCATTTCTTATCGGATTTCTATAAAATATGGCTTAAATTAAAGCTGAGAAAATCGCAGATCTTGTGATATGTAAAAAATATGTATTTGCTCAAGAGATAAATCTATAAGCAGTCTGGGAACTTTTCATTGTAGGTTTTTGCTAACGTATTTACAGTAGAAGCCCCTTTCCGTCACATAAAACCAAGAGTCATGTGTGTCATATACAATCCAATTTTGCATTTGTTTCCTGGTTCGTCATTCGTGCTGAAGTGACTAAAGACAAATTCCTCCAGCTGGTCATAAGATAAATGCGGTCGACCTCTCCACCACTTAGCTTATGAAACGTACGGTGGAGGAAAAAAATTACAGAGTTTTTTACTCTGATATATAATCACAAACTACAGGATATACCATACTGACTGGACAGAACATCAGTACCAGGAATATCTACACAGTTCAGCCTAGTAGTAGTAAAGGTAATTTTACGGCTGTCGATTATATTTACCTCTCACAATGTTATCCTAACATAATAACAATATTAATAAAAAATATAATAATTTGTTGGAACAGCAAATTTGTCTTTTCGTTGGTTTACCCGACATAAGGTTGTCAAAATCAAGCTGCATAACT